TATTCATATTTTTTTTTCAATTCTCTTTCAAATTTTGAAGCCTATAAATAGGCTTGATTGTTCATTTATTGGTGTATAAGTATTTTGTAAAGATTGACAGGATCATTTGAAGTTCTTATATTCATTTTATTTCATAGTGAATTCATTTTTTTATCATCTTTCTCTTCAATTCTACTATTATTTCCATTTCTTTTTTTATAATACGTTATCGGCACAAAACTCTAATCAATCAATATAATAGACCATGAAGTATGTATCTATCAAAAGACTTGATCATTTATTTCAACCATTGGTTTTTTTCTACACAAGTGCTTTACCCAAAGATCTAAATTATTTAAATCATTAAGATGTATGCATCTAATTTATCATGTACTTTAAATCTAATGATACATAGAATATACATTTGAAAATTTTAAATGATTTAATATATAAAATCTAATTATCTAATATATATTGTTTGAAAATTTTAAATTTTGTTATTATGTTTGTTTTTATTTAAATTTTATTATTATATTTTGTTTTTATTTCCTAATATTATTATTATACTTTGTATTATAGAATTTTTATGGTATCAAACCTCACAAAACTTGATTTTGTGGCCTCTAACATTTTGGACAAGAATGATTGATCATGAGTGCTTGACATTGAATAAATATTCTCTACTTTTCATGTTTCGAATATGCTTTTACGGTAGCATATCAAGAAAAAAAGTTTAAAAAATATTTTAAATCGATTTTCGTGCTTGCTCATGGCTAAATAAAATGACAAGTTATTGATGAAACATAATAAATCTCATCGAACTAGATTTACTCCATTATCCGAAATGTGACAACATGAAAAGTAGAATAAATCTCTCCTTTTTATGTTTCGAATATTCTCTTACAGTAGCATATCAAGAAAAAGAGTTTAAGAAATATTCTAAATCAATTTCGTACTTGCTCATGACTAAATAAAATGACAAGTTATTGATGAAAAATAATAAATCTCGTTCAATTAGATCTACTCCATTCTCCGAAATGTGACAACATGAAAAGCGGAATAAATCTTTACTTTTCATGTTTTGAATATGTTCTTACAGTAGCATATCAAGAAAAAGAGTTTAAAAAATATTCTAAATTGATTTCGTACTTGCTCATGGTTAAATAAAATGACAAGTTATTTAATGAAAAAGAATAAATCTCGTCAAACTAGATCTACTCCATTCTCTAAAATGAATGTGACAACTTATAATAATTTTAAGTATGGACGAAGATGTGGTCATAGCTATGGACGTGGTCGGAATAATTATCATTACGGTCGTGATGATCATAATAATACATCTCTCCACAAGAAGTAGATAACTATGAAAAAAATAAGAAAAGAATAAAAATGGATCATGTCGGTATTCCGAAAATGAATGTTATAGATATGACATGAATAGACATTGGTCGTGTGTTTACCGTACACTAAAACACCTTATTGAACTTTATCAAGCCTCATTGAAAAAGAAAAAAGTAAAATATAGAGACCAATTTTATATATCAAAACGAAGGTAATTGAAATTAATAACTTTTTACCGTTTTCATTTATAAACAAGATATTTTATTATAATTTCCATTGCATAAAGATAGTTATAAATTTATTTTACTATTTATTTATTTATATTTGTGAAGAATATATATATATATATATATATATATATATATATATATATATATATATATATATATATATATATATATTGTTTAATTAATTATTTTTTATTAATATTGTATCTAATAATATCAATTTAACAAAAAGCTATAAAAGATCGATTATACTATTACTTAAAGAAATAGATTTTTGAGACTCTAGAAAAGCGAATATATTATTACTTGAAAAGATAACTTTTAAATGTTTTAGAATAGCAAATATATTATTACTTGAAGTGACATGGTTTAAAAGCTTTAGAAGGACAAATATGTTATTATCTCGAAAGGATAAATTTTATTATAAATAATGTACTATTCTCTCTAAAGTCTCGGAAATTTATTGAGTTCCAAAGATATTCATCTACATTGATATCATATCAAGATAAAAAATGTAGAAAATATTGAATACTTATATATTATAATTATTACATCGGGTAGAAAATATGTATTGAAAAAATTTACTTGCCTTTTCTTTTGGCCTTTATTACAAACATTAGAATGATTGAAACAAATGTTATAGTAAACCGAAGTTTATTAATTCAAATACTTTTATTATATGACATGACCAATTGTTTTATCCTAGATTTTTCATGATACGAAAAAAATTATTAAAAATTCATATTGACATCTATTAAAGAGCCAAAAGATTTTTCAATTTAATAGATTTTCATGTTCTTCATATTCTCAAGGTAAATTAATCATTAAGCCATTGCCAAGTAAAATTGAGATTGAATTTTTGGTATTTTTAGAATATATTCAAGGTGATATGTGGATTAATTAATCCACCATGTAGACCATTTTATATATTTTATGATTTTAATAGATGCATCCACAAAATAATCACATGTATAATTATTATCTACTCGAAACTTGACGTTTTCGAGATTGTCGACCAAATAATTCAATTACAAGCATAATTTCTAAATTATGCCATTAAAATAATTTACCTTGATAATACCGATGAATTTATCTTCTAAACACTAAATGATTATTGATTGGCTATTAAAATAAATGTTAAACATCCCGTTTCTCATGTTCATACATCGAAGGTTTAGTAAAATCATTTATCAAAAGGCTCCAATTGATAACTAAATCATTATTTAAAAACAAAACTTCCCGTTTATGTTTGGGGATATGCAATTTTACATACAGCAACACTTATTCCCATCGGATCCATAAGTTATTAAAAATTCTCTCCCCTTCAATTGATTTATGGTCATGAGCCAAATATTTCTTATTTAAAATTTTTTAGCATTACGAGTATATACCCGTAGTGCTCTTCCATAATAAACTAAAATGAACACTTAAAGGAGATTGAAAATATATGTTAGATTTGAATCCTCTTTGATAATTCAATATCTTGAACCATGAACAAGAAATATTTTTACAACTCGATTTATCAATTGTCATTCTGATGAAATTTTTCTTCCAATATTAGGGGGAGAATAAGCAAAATAAGTAGTTAGAAATGTTGAAAAAAAAATTACACAGAGTACTTTATCTTATATCATCTTGATCCTCGTACAAAATAATGTGAACTAGAAGTTCAAAAGATAATTCATTTATAAGGTATTGCAAATCAATTACGAGATGCATTTTCGGATTTTAAATAAGTAATCGAAATGCATGTTCCCATTGAGAATGCTCCAATTAGAATTGATGTTTTAGAAGGACAACCTATTAATGTTATAGCAATGAATCTAAAGCACGCCCGAAGCATGGAAGATCGATCGATTTTAAAGACAAAAATCCTTAAAAGAAAAGGACAAAAATATTTAGAGGAACAATAATATCCTCCGATAATACCCTTATCGAGTTTTATTCCTATTTGAGATTTGGACTTGACGTTTGCTATATTAGCTAGTTACTTTGATCATGTGTGATTCAATCTATAAAACTAATCTAGAAAAGCGACCAAGTTTTGAATTAAAATTTTTGAGTATGTAAGGAAAACGTGTTCGGTATATTCATTGGCATTAATAATGTCTTTTGAAAGAAGCATTATTTCGAGTCACATGGATGTGATTATGGATATACAATATGAAATCATACTATATCTCAATTGAAGAGTTTGACATAATGAGATATTGAATACAAAGAATTATCTAAGGTGTTACAAGATTGATGATATATTATATCTCATATCTCGTTTATTAATTTTAGGAGGTAGCTACTATGTTATTCATAACATATGCATAGTAATAAGCTACCAAAATGCAAAAATGTGGCACGATCCATTTGCTAGTATGAAGATATACTTTTTTGTTTTACTACCGATATTGCGGATGGCCCCGTATCGGGTCTAGCTCGTCATGTACGAGTGATAGATGTTAGAAAAAAGGGATTTGGGTTGGGTCACCCATGATGGGCCGACTCGACAATAAAATTATTTAAAATATAAATATAAGAAAAGAAAAGAAAAGCAACCGTTATATAGTTGCATGAAAAGTTATCCCCTTCAACTCCCATGCATATATATAAGAAAAATGGATAAGGATAATTAAGAAAAGAAACAAATAAAATAACGAGAGAAAAACCATCTAAAGGTAAAACACAAAAGATGATTGTTTTGGCATTTGAATTGTGGATAACGAGATAATGATTTAATATTATTGTCTTGGTTTAGTGAAACTACTCACATGTAAATTTTATTTCGATTCTAAACTTGCTTATTGTTTATTTATGTTTGTGATTTTATTACACTTTGTTTATACAAGATAACTTTACTTATCTTTGTTTATTTGAACTTATTGTGTCTATGTTTATGAGAAAATACACAATCCTACTTGATTTCTAAGTAGTAAAAGAAGTCTTTTAATTACCGGAAAGAAGGGAAATATTTTTATTGATAATAAGATTACACTAGAAAAACCTTATAGAAATCATTTTGATATATATTTGAAAATTTGTAAATATATACTAAATTATTTATATATAAAAATTTGAGCATGGGGTTGCAATGGATTAGAGGTCCATTGGACTTGAGGCTATACTATTCCCCTCCACCTATTCCGTGGGATTTGTGCTTAGACTGACCTCACTAGAGCTAGGCAAGAAAGAACGACATAAGGTTTAGTTTCTTGGGTTTGGGCCTTTGGCCCTTCTCTGAACCGGAAAAAAAAAAAAAGCACGAAAATAAACCCTTTTGTTCCTAAAGTGTCCATCACTAGTGAAACTGCAGTTTTGTGGAGACCTAATCCAATCATCCTCGGACTGCATAACCTTAACTAATCCTTGAAAATGAATATGCTCATTCCGTTCTCATTAGGAGTAAAATCAGCGAAGGTGTATTCTAGAGGTAGATAGAGGTCAGATGACATAAAAACCACAATGGCTTATGAAGAGGAGAGGAAAGGAGAGCAGAGGAGAGAAGGGCAAAGAAGGAGAGTTGTAGGCGCTGCCCTGCTCACAGGAAGGAATGCTATCTATTTGTCAGCAAATATCTTCACCAAGTTTGTCCTTTACCCAAACCATATCTCTATCTAGTATCAAGATTGAACGGCCCATATACCCCAAATAATAATAATAATAAAAAAATCATGCTTCTTGCTGCGACTGCAACTTGCTACCATCAAACCTAAACCCTTGTTTGCTCTTTTACATTTACATCCCCAAAAAACCCAACCCAACCCAAACCGTGCCCATAAATATCTCACTCTCACTTGGAAAAACATCCTTCCTTAAACCTTCCTATTTTCTGCAACTGCAACTTGATAATAGCAAACCTAAACCCTCATTTGCTCTTTTACATTTACACCCGCGAAAAAACCCAACCCACCCCAACGCCACCCAAACCCTGCCCATAAATATCTCTCTCACGTGAGAAAACATCCGTTCTTAAACCTCCCTATTCTCTTCCTCCTTCAAAAACCTTATCTTTACCCTATCTATCTCTACCACTTCCTTTCTCCTTGCAAAACTAAACCAAAACACACGAGAAAGAACCATGTCTGCAACATCTGCCGCTTCGCTAGTCCTACCGTCGCTCAACCACCCAAATACCATCAAATCTTTCTACAGCAGACCCGCTTCACTCTCTTTTTCATCTCCTTCTTCCACTTCTTCTCTCAAGCCCGCTTCTCTTTTGCTCTCCTTTCAACAACAGCAGCAACAACCTTTGTCCTCTCGGTTCATAAAAAATGTTGCCATTTCATCTGAATTCGGGCAAGAAGAAGATGTCTTCAGTGATGGAGACGAGCCCAGTTTCTCTCCAGACCTCAAATTGTTTGTGGGTAATCTTCCTTTTCATGTTGACAGTTCCCAGCTCGCTGATATCTTTAAAATTGCTGGAACTGTTGAGATGGTTGAGGTATTCTATCTCTCCTTTTGCTTTCAAGGACCCATTTTTTATTTCTCTTTTGAAGACCCTGCTTTGGTTCTTTTTTAAAATTTTCTGTTTTACGGTTATAATTCCTGTATATATTTTTTTTAAATTGCAACGTTTGTTTGAATTTAATGATAGCATTTAGTGTTTTTTTTTTTGTAATATGGTTTTCTTGGTGAAGCTAATTCAATGAATGATATATTGCATGTAAAATTGATAAAATGTTTTGATTGGATGCAGTACTGTCCCCATGTTTCAGTTTTATAGGTTGTATTGCCTTTTATTTGAAAGATTAGTAACCATTTGCTTCAATGTGCTGAATTTATTTCTTTTTGGAAGGTAATATATGACAAGGTAACTGGGAGAAGCAGAGGATTTGGTTTTGTGACCATGTCGACTATTGAAGAAGTTGAAGCAGCTACTCAACAGCTCAATGGCTATGTAAGTCAATTGTAAACACACATACATAGAGGATTTCCAAGCATAGTGTACAAAATCATCAAATTTAATTATAAGGGTTCTAAGGGGTACTCACTTTTCTTTGAGAATGCTTGGTGGGAGTTCAACTCATTGGAGGTTACTTGGTGGCTTTTTAGAATCATTTAAATCTATTCTAAAGCCTCACTTTTGAGTTGGGATGGTTCTTTGATATGAAATCAGACCAATTGGTTACGAGTTCAAATATCACCACCTCACTTTTTCAAGAATTAAGTACAAGGTAATATAGTCCTGAGTAAGTTTCAAGCCCAAAAGGTTTTCATTTGAGGGGGTGTGTTAGAATCATTTAAGTTATATTCTAGGACCTCACCTAACACCTAACGGCTTAAAGCTTAAGCTTTTGGATTGAGGTGGCTCTTTGACAAGTTTAATAATTGTCTGCATTCCAGGTAATGCATCCTTTTTATTGTTATTATGAGGTTATGGCTCATACAAATTAGGTTTATTTGTATCTAAGTGATAGCTTGTCATGCAGGAACTTGATGGGAGGCCATTGAGGGTGAATTCTGGACCTCCTCCCCAGAGAACAACTTCCTTCTCAAGAGGGGCAGGGGCTAGAGGTGGTGGATCATTTGATTCTGGCAATCGTGTTTATGTTGGCAACCTTTCATGGAATGTTGATAACTTGGCGCTTGAGACATTGTTTAGAGAGAAAGGGAATGTCACAGATGCAAGAGTGGTTTATGACAGGGATAGTGGTAGATCAAGGGGATTTGGTTTTGTTACTTACAGTTCTTCTGAAGAGGTTGAGAATGCCATAGACTCCTTAAATGGCGCTGTAAGTATATCATTCCCATTTTGTTGAACTAATGTGTATGCTCCTCAAGTGGGCTACCTTGTGCTGAATCTAAAATTGCTAGTTTTGCAATTGAGATTTCTCTGTGGTAAAAATATAGTGTTAGAACATTTGGGTTGTTGTCTTGTTGTATTTGAGAGTTTTGGTTGTCACGTTCTTGATGTTTTTTTTGATAAAATTTGTAATACAGTTGGTTTGCTTTTATTTTACGGACTTGGTATGCATACAAAGGTATTTGTTTGGCAAGAGTCTTTTGAAGATTATATATGTTTGACCATAGTGGCTACCCAAATAGTGGCCAAAGTTTTTGTGAAAATGCAACTCATGAGTTTATACTACTATGTTAAATCTGACAATTGCTTCTGTCATTCCCCCACTGTGCTTCAAAGTGTAATTTGCTACAAATTAATTGTCACTTAATGAAATGAGTTTGGTGCAGGAATTGGATGGCAGAGCAATTCGAGTCTCAGTTGCAGAAGCTAAGCCAAGGCGCCAATTTTGAGCACTAGTCCTTTTTTGGATCTTCTCTTTGAGAAAATATTTTGGGCGGTACTTGTCTACACATTTGCTCTTAAGTCTGGTTGTGAACATAAGTATTGTATTACTTTAAAATGACGTGTTTTCTATCCTTCAGCTGGTTCCTTATTTTATTTCTAATTTCTGTCACAGGACCTTGGAAGTTACACCTTTGAGGTCTATTCCAGTCCTGCAACATATTTGAACATGCTCCTTGTGCCTGGGCCCTGTCAAACATGGTGGTCATCTGGCTCTTTGATAGATGTATCCAAGATGAACAAGAGTTGATTAAACGTGTTGAATTCTTGATGTATGTTTTAAACACTGTGATCCGGATGAAAAACATATCTGTTGTTTATTTATCGAGGTGATGTATGAATTATTTAGTTGATTTGACTTTGCCATATGGATTGTGCTAGCTAGAAGAGCTTTGTTATTGTTGAATGAATTGCAGGGAAATTCAAATTTAGGATTAGGTTCCAGGGTTTTGAAATTATTAGTTGCTTGGATTTGTTTGCTATCCTAGCAAGGTAAAGAAACTTTGTGGACCTTGTGAATGCAATTCTAGCCACAGGTTCGCTTGCGGAGGGTAATTCCTTTTTAAGTTTCCTTTTTGTGAATCTGATATCAAGTGTCTGGCATTGATGCTGGGGGTGCAACAGTGAAATTGGTTATGGAAATTGTGAGCAATTTTCATGGTTTTTGATCTGTGAAACAGGTTTTATCGTGTCACACTGTAAGATCCTTTTACGCTAGCTTGTACTGTCACACTGCTTTTTTTTTTCTTTTTGGCAATAAATTGGTGATAACCTAGTTCATGCTGTACGGGATTAGCTGATAATTGCCTTAGATATCTAATTTTCTGAATCAACTTCACGTCTAATACATGCTTGTCTTTGATTTTAACTATTTTCACCAATTTAGCGATCAGACCGTTCCTTTCTTGCAAACATGTAAATAGAATTTTGAGTCTTGAAAACATTTGTTGCAAGGCTGATGTGCGCTGATAATTGTGGGATTGTAGAGAGCTAAGATGGAAATTTTTGATATTTTGAAGTGAGATTATATAAATTAATCATCTTACCTTTGATTAGATTAGGAATCATTTGAACCACCTGATGTCTGGTTTGCAAATGGTTCATCTTCAAATCAAGACCTGACCAAGCCTTCTCGCCCAACCGACAGAAAAAGGATAAAAAAATCGTAAAAGAAAAGAAAGGATCCAACGAATGGACATGCATTATGTACCTTCCCTCTAGCAACTTTAGAAGTTTCAATACAGTAAATCATCTTTGCTCTCATTTGCAAACAGCTAGCATAAGACGGGACAGTCTCTCAATATCTATCTGATTGATGTCTAATAGTTGAAATATCGTCAATATTGATGCGTTTTTCTTGTCACTTCGGACTTGTTCGCCTGCATCTTGATTGGCCATAGTTTTTTAAATCTAAAGAAAATCTCTTCATTTGTTTTCCCTCATAAGTTGATAATAAGCAGAAGACATCAGCGTAGAATTGAAAACAATATAAGAGTTTTCAGGAAATCTGTGAAGGAAATCCAACTTTCGGTTGTTTGAGTAAAGAAATAGGATGCACAATGTTACTTGTGTGTTTCGCATCCCACTTCTCCCAATCCACTCTTAAAAAACTGGAAAAGAAGGAAATGCTCACATGATCATTAACAGATTTAGTATCAGAAAGCTGGTTTATTTATGTATTTGAGTTCTGGAAATGCTTTGTTTTCTGCTGATAAATGGTCAAAAATGATTATGCTGTGATAATAATTATGGCAGATCAAATAGAAGTGGTTGAGGTTTCGCCATCAGTAGATTGAGCACTATGGCTTCTGTAAGGTCTGTCTGCTTGCTCCATTTCATAACTATAGTAATTTGCACCCGCCGACCATTTATTTTCTCCGTATGCAAATTGAGGCATACATTAGCAATTGAATGTTTAGCTCATTTCTCGAACCAAACCTCTGAAACTCTTTCAAATTTCAGATTTGAAGATGATCTCGAAATTGCAAAGTTCCCACCAAGCAGTAAAGGTCATACAGTTCATGCCTCCAAGAAGACTCAGAAGAATTCAATAGGCAACAACTTGCCCCGAAAAGTGCTATCCAGAGTCTTCTGAGAGGATTACAATGTTGTGGTGAAGGCAAGATTCGATCCTAGAGGATCTTTCATCAATACACGGAACAACATATTATTTGCAGCATGTTTGACTTCATTATTCGTAGACCCTTTATTTTTTTTTTTGTTGCCTCAAGCTACGAAATGTATATGCATTGATGGATCTGCAATCATTGAAGGTGCACTCACTTCCATCAGGACACTAGCTGATGTATTTTATGCTATTAGTATCTTTATTCGATTTCGGACAGTTTATGTTGCTCCTTCATCTCGGGTATATGGGAGAGGAGAGCTGGTTGTGGATCCTTCAAAGATTGCATCAAGATACCTTCACCAGAAATTTTGGCTGGTCTACCTCTTCCATAGGTTTATAAGCAGCCAGAGTATTTTATCTCTCATTTGATTAGGGTGCTGGAAAATAACACTGGAATCCTCTAATGAGTGATTCAAACACTGGCAGTTAATATGCAAGTTTCTTAGTTGTGAAATGTTGCAATTTGAAATAATAGAGCTGGTTTCGACATTTTTCAGGTAGTAATTTGGGTTGTTATCCCAAGAATAATGGGTTCGTCAATGGATCCTAAGAAAAAACATTATTCTGATTTCTCTCATAACCCAGTATGTGCTGAGGTTGTATCTTATTATTCCACTTGGAAGTCAAATTACCAAGGCTACTGGTGTTGTCTTGGAAAGAGCATCTGTTGCTGTTTATGTTGGTAAATCATGTAAGTTGCAACTTCAGTCTATTTTATGAACAAATTTGTTGTTATCAGTTCCGAAAAGCCGGGCTTGGATTTTAAATTCTGGATTGTAGTTAGATTTAGACCCGCACAAGAGAGTAATTCCAATTAGAGTGAGAGTCCGATCCCAACAATTCAATATCTTTTGGTGATAATAAAATAATAATAATAATAATAACGCTTAGAAATTAGATCATGTTTTTGTATTTTTTTCCTTTGTTTTTATATAACTATTCCTTTCATCCTTGATTGGGGTCCGTACATAGCCTAACACTCATTTTATCATTTGTGGTATTATTGTCGTTGTCTTATATTTTAGTATGTATGGTATGTCATTAGTCCCTCTCCCTTCGGTCCACGTGCCCATGGCGAGTTCAAGTGAGAGTGGTCGGAAAGACAACCTCAATCGGTTATAAGCCGATCTTGGGGATATTGTCCATATGCGTTGTAAATTTTTTTTTATTGGTCTACACATGCCATTATGACTTTTGCATCTTCCCATTTTTACTTCTTCTACCATTTTTTCCCTACTCTTCTCTTGCTTCTTGTTTTGGGTTCGTTGTTGCATTTTAATCTTCGTTATCTACTGTCTTATTCTTCCAACTTAGGTGTCTTTGTCTTTCTTTCTTTACATGTTCTACAATCATGAGTGATTTTGGAGAGAGTTTTATAGACTCACAGACCTTGGATCTAGATATGTCAAATATGTACATACCTTCGTTATTTGACCTTGGTAGAGTCTCTTGGTTAAATACAATCAATGTCTCAAGACTTTGTGATCCAAGTAACGAATTATCTGAGCTTGGCATCTATGCTGATGCACTGACTTTTGGAGCTCTAGCTTCTTCACGAAATTCCCTTATTTGCTTTGGTGGGCTATAAGGAATTTGAAGTGAGTTGCTAGAGAACATCTGATTAGATAAAATTGATTCATTGTGGTTACTTGTGTCACAAAAAATGTTCTAGGAAGCATAATTTCTCATAAAGGTCATCATAATACTGATAATGAAGATGACTGGAACAGACTTAGCATTTAAGTACTTAGAGTGATTACAAATTTTCCAACAGTGCTATCCGAGAAACTGTTTGCAAAAGTTGACTTCTTTTTCTGTGCTATAATTTAAGCTGTGGTTTTGGTGTAAAAGATACAGATCCATAGTTCCTTGACTAGGTATTTGATTACATTACCTGAAAGTTGCTTTCTGATATGTATCATAATTGTAACAAATTTCCTGTCAATCCTGCAACTCTTTAGGTTAGGGACTTGCGACCTCCACGTATCCTTGAGAAATAACTTATGCCATGATTCTTGGAATTGTTTCATTGGTGCTTTTTGGGCTATTGATTGGGAATATGCAAGTAAGTCCAGTCATAAAATAAAATGCTTGACTTTTTGCACATCAGAAAATATGGATGAATGAGCTTCCCAGAATGAAACTCCTTTTACCTTGGGGAGAATATTGATCACCCTTTTGAAGAGGAATATATCGTATTCAACAACAAACATTTTTGGAATAACATCCTTTTCACATACTATAATGTGTTTAAAGTGATGCCCAGCTAGGCATTTCTTGTTTAAAAGATTCTTTCTTTACCTGTTTTCTTCTTATATTGACAGACATATCTACAATCCACTACCGCACGACTGGAGCAGTAGAGTATTTCCAAGACTGATACAGAACGATGGATGCATTACAGGCAGCAGCCCCAAGCAATGAGGCAGAGTTTTCGAAGGCACAATCAACATAAATGGTGTACAACTTGTGGAGTTGATAAGGAAGCCATTATAAAAAGCCTCCCCATGAATCTCCGACGTGTCATTAAGCATGACCTCTGCCTTGACCTTGTTCGAAAAGTAGGCTTAATTTGTTGCTCAACATATTGCTTATAATACGTGACTGGACTTGTTGTTGGCTGTTTTTATGTTTCTACTCCAGATATTGTCTTAATGTTATATGATAAAATAAGCCTATAAGTAGCAGAAGACTAAACTTCAGAACTTGTTTAATGTATGTATAATAGGTACAACTGTTTAACACGATGGATGAGCAGGTGCTAGATGCAATATGTGAAAAGCTAAAACCTTATCTATATGACCAAGGCACTCAGTGTAGATCGCGAGGGTGATCCTGTTAATGAGATGCTCTTCATTGTTCGAGGCCGCCTAGACTCATACACCACCAATGGTGGCCGTCTTTATTTCTTTAATTCATCCGTGATTGGACTTGGTGACTTATGTGGAGAGGAATTGTTAACCTGGACCTTGGACCCTTGCTCAAGTGTTACCCTTCTTTATTCAACTCGCACGGTTATTGCCATCACTGAAGTTAAAGCATTTGCTTTCATTGCAGAGGGCTTAAAGTTTGTAGCATCTCAATTCTGCAGGCTGAATTGCAAAAACTTAGGTAGGTGTTTAGGTTTCATTCTTACCAATGGAGGAAATGGGCTGCATGCTTCATTCAAGCAGCATAGTTTCGATATAAAAGAAAGAAATAGTCATGTGAGCTTAGTAGAGTCAAGCTTGGACTGACAATCGAACAATGGTCTCTATACTTGTTTCAAACGACCACAAATGTTACCATGTATAAAACAAAACGTGCAGCTAGCATTAGGAGGGGTGTACCAAAGCTCGAAGAGCATGATTTTACAATTTGAAAATCGTGATATTGACATTGGAAGATTAGAAGGGTTTTGCATAAGTTTATTCCTTGTATATATGTAAATTCATTCCACCATATTGCTCTACACTTGGATGGTCCTGCAATAATTTGACGGATTTCAACGTCCACTGTTATATTTTTGTTGTTAGGCCTCCATTCTCTTACTTTTGATTTTTACATGCATGTATGCATACATATAGATATATAGATATACAAGTAGATTATATGGGGGAAAACATAAATATAGATTCCAGATTTGCATATAATGGTTGCAAATTTTTCATGCATTCCGCATTTTTGTGAGTGCCAGAAATTGAAATAAATAGGACTTAGCGTATTCTTAAGAAAACTGTCTCGTACTAAGACTTGGTCCCTTCATATTGGGTATTAGAAAATCTCTCAACTCCAGTTGAGGCTAGGTCTGCTTTCGATCCCCAACCGTAGTGTTCCAACTCTCAGGTAAAAGGCTTAGACCTAAAAGAGCCCAAAATTATTGGCATTTTCCACAAACGCTGCAACATTTACATGGAACTGTGTATGGAAACATTCAAGATTTATTTGAAAAAAAGACCTGAGATGGAGGAATTATTCAATATATTGGAAACTATATTCCTTCTCTCAAAATTATAAAATTCATGAAGTATTTTCATAATGGATCCCATGTTTTTGTAAAAAAACGAAATCAACTTCTGACATACTTAATAATTTTCTATAAGATGCCTAGAATTCTTATGTTTGGTACGTTATAAATTCTTAAATGTCCGGGATCGTAGGAAAGGTGTGTGTGTATATATATATAAAATGAAAATCAAGAATAGTTTTATAGAAAGACAACTAATAGGTACAAGTAAAAAGTCTATAATAAGGCTATAAAATCATTGTTTTTATGTAGGCTACTCTTAGCTAAGGTATTAGTTACTATATTTCCTTCCCGAACAATGTGTTTAAAATTAAAAGATCCTTAAAAAATGTATCAGAACATCAATAGAATTGCAAAGACTTTGAAAATGCCAAGGTTTAGCAGAAACATGCATGCTCAGCCAAATAACAGTATTTCTTGAATCTGATTCAATATTCCATTTAACGTCATAAGCATAAACAGATGTGGCATTGATCTCTAGAGCTTTTTTAACATCTATAACCTCATTAGATTTCTTAATTTCTATTGGGATATAAAATATGCACAAGAAATTACCATCTTGATTTCTTAACATACCTTAAATATTAGAAATCTCTACCTTATCTATAGACGAACCATCCATATTCCATTTCAAAGAACCTAAGCAACCAAGCAATAGCTTGTCAACATCTAGGATGATTAGTCCACATCTTGATACAATCTGAACATTGCTTAAGGTCGTTATACACAAAGTGATGATCTACAAATCTAGTTATTTCTAGCCAACCAAATTGTCTAAAGGATTGCATAAAGAACTAAGAACTAAATCGTTTTTTTCTTCTTCTTTTTTTTTTTTGTATCCTTTTGTAACAAAAAAATTCCTACTCTACAAATAAATCATCAATTGTACGTGGCATAACCCAAATACAACCTCACCAAGAAATAATCCGATGCCATAATATCCACACAACATCATAATGAAAAAATAGATACCGAGTAGTTTCTTGACTCTAATTGCAAAAAGGACAAATGTCGGCTTTTTCTCATATTATAAATTTCTAGCAAGTGAATTGATGAGTGCATAATTAGTATAATTTTTATACTATGTTATATTGAACTTTCTCATTATTATTGTATTATATTATATTGTTTAAGAATAAGATGAAAGTTTTGAGTTTTGTAGAAAAAATGATGAATCGGGGTAAGAAAACCCAAAACCTAAATAAGGAAAAGAAAAACTTCAAAGAGGCTTAGGAGAGTCATATGACCGTTTGAAATAACAAAGGAATCAGCTATTGGTCGTGTTACTTAAAGAAAGAAACCATATGATTCTCAAACCACACGGGCATAAGTATTCCACACGGCTAGAGGAAGAAATCTCACACAGTCGTGTGGGTTAATCAACCTAGAAAAACTTAAGGAAAGAAGAAGACCACACAAGCGATAGACATTACACACGGTTTATAGTGCAAAGTCACACGTCTATGTCTCTAAGGAAAAGCAGATCTACACGAGCAAAAGAGATTCAACACTCGCTTGAAAAAGAAATCTACATGGTTAGTTCATAGTTATATGATTAAATTAATTAGAGTGCACACTAGTTGTTTAGTCATATTAACTTATTGTTAGTTAAGTATTCAAATCCATGTAATTGCTTATCTAAACTTAGCTGTGGTAGTAACTAGGGATTGATGATTATTTTTCACGTTTTCATTCAATTCCCTAGAAAATGTATAACTAGGTTACATCTTCTCTAAGCACTTAGGAAGGTGGCTTAGCTTTACTTGTTATTCTTTATTTAATGTCGTTATTGGATTAAATCTATCTAACACTTTATAGGTTAGTCAATAGCTAAGGAATTAATTGGGTATCGTATATTCGGTTAATGAATAAGTAAGAAAAGACTAGGGTCAACATATATGTTTTTGTCTTACGATGAATATTCATGATTAGGATAAGTTAATTATTTAATTGATAATCGGCGATCAAACTAAAGGTGGATACCGAAGTTCAACCAAAGGCTTTTAATATTGTTATTCTTTACTACTTTTAATTGTTTCCAAGCTTACAAACAAACCAAACCCCTTTACACCACAAAAACACTCAAACAACCAAAATGATTGATTGATTCTCTTTTCTTGTGGGTTCAACCCTTACTTGTCCCGATTACATAACCATGATTGAAAGCTTTGTAAGAAAAATATAAATTACTAATTTATTGATGGTACGACACGCCGACTACGAACTAATAATATTTAATCTCTCCAAAACTATCAACCAAGAAAAAGCCTTAACTTTTTGGTGGAGTTAAGTATAGCCACAAAAAGGAGAGAATGGAAGATTCACTACCTAACAAATGATCATTAAGTAGAGCACAACATGATTTAATTGAGTAAATACCTTTGCTATTATGAGACCAAACAATTTGATCATTAGCTTTCTTGTGCAAATGGACTTCTAAAACCGTGCAAATGAACTTCTAAAACAACATCTAAAAGTGAAATTTCGTATTTTAACTTAATTAAATACAGTGGCCTTATCCATTTGAATTTCTATGACAAAAAATAGCTAGACCAAGAACCCATATCTGCTACCTTGCATATTTTGTCACCAGCTAGTGCAAAAAGATAAGGGAAAAATGTCTTAAGTGGCATACCACTTACCCAATAATCTTCCCAAAATAAGGTTGGCGAACCATCACCAATAACTTTCCTCATCCTATAGCTAATCAAATGAGCACATTGATCATCAGCAATATAAAAAGAACAAATTCCATCCCAAACCGAAGACAATATACGATTTAATATAGGAAGCCCATTTTTGAATTCAAGATTACATTTTTACCGAGTAATTTCACTCCAATTGGAACCACTATGCCTACTAAGTCTCCAAATCTATTTAAACAACAAACCTTTGTTTTTAGTAACTAGAGAATCAATGCCAATTCCTTCATTCCTCTTTGAACGAGTTAAAAAATTCCATGCCATTTTACAAATGAGTTTTTTATCATCATTATCATTCCATAAAAAGCTTCACCGAATTGAAACATTCTTTTTAACTATCCCAACTAATAACTTAAAGACATAAAGATAATAAACAAGAATAGAGGATAAAATTGACTTGAGAAGGCAAATACTCCCACCCAAAGATAATAACTTTCTTTTTCAAGTCTTCAAGCGGTGTCTAATTTTATCAATTACTAAATACCAAGTTGACTTACGCTTTGGACTAGCATTGGTGGCAACCCAATGTACTTGGTTGGAAGATGACCAACTTTACATCATAAAATGTTAGTCGTACCCAAAAATAGCCTTCATCAATATTGATGCCTATTAAAGAGCTCCTAAAGAAATTAACCTTCAAACCTAAACATAACTCAAACCATAAAAGAACTCTTTTGAGATTCATAAGAATGTCTAAATCATCATGGAAAAAAAGAATGGTATCATCAGTATATTTGAGATGGCTAACCCTTAAATTATGACAAATTTCGTGCCATTAAAGATCCCACAATCCGTAGCTCTACCTAAGAGAACAATCAAATAGTCCGCCACTAAGTTAAAAAGAAAGGGAGATAATGAATCTCCTTTTTGATACCTCTCGAAGTACTAAACTCGAAGTAGGTGACCCATTGATCAAGATGGATAACTTGGTAGTATTGATGCATCGAAAGATCCATCTTCCTCACTTAGTACCAAACCTCATATAGTCCATAATGTTCACCAAATATTTCTAAAGAACAGAATCAAAGGCTTTTTAAAAATCAAGCTTCGAGAGTAAAACATTGGATATGATGACTTTTTATACTATGAATGACCTTATTAACAACTAAAGCACTATCCAAGATTTTCCTTTCAAAAATAAATTTAATTGATTCTCACTAATAACTTTAGACATAACTTAATGAATTCAAAAAGAGAGAATCTCCGTTATGATATTATAAAGCCTATTAACAAGACTAATGGGTCCGAAGTTTGAGAATTTCTTTGCTCCTACTAACTTCGACAAAGAAAGTCACATGTGCCTTAGTGATTTCTTTTGACATATAACCTAATCGAAGATTTTGGCCACCAAATCCAAAATATCATCCCTAATTAGATCCTAAGCATTATTATAGAAAAGAAAATTAAAACCATCATGACTAGGTGCCTTTGATCCTTCACAACTTCAAAACGTATTCCTTTCCTTCTCTTTAGTAATCGACCTTTCTAGGTTAGAAGTATATGAATCACTCAATCTTTTAAAACTTCGAGCACCTATTGAAGGTTAATAAAAGGATGTTTTAGTAAACATGCTGGAATAAAAATTAACTACTCCCTTAATTTTTGAAGAACTATGTAAGATTCTATCACCAACTAAAATTCTAGTTATGAAGTTCTTTCTCCCACTTAATGAATCCGGCAAGTGGAAGCATTTAGTCTCGTAATCACCCAATCAACACTAGCTAGCTCTCGCCTTTTATCTCCTTAACGATCCTAACTTTCTATTAATGTCCCATAGTCTCGCCTAATAGCTTTTAAGAGTGTCATGCTCTAAAGGGATCGACTTCTAGCTTTGCCAACCAACTCCAACTCATTAATATCATTCTCTAGAATCTTTAAGCTATTATTTAGGTAACCAAATGATGTGTTATTCTATTGACGAAACTTGCCTTTAAGAAGGTCCAGCTTTTTAATAATTTTGTATCTATATTGCTCCTTAGCACAAAACTCATTCCACATAGGCCTCAAAGCATACTTGAAACCATACGTCTACTAGCAATATAAAGATTGAAAAGGTTTCCAACCCAAATTCATTCTTTCGGATCCTAAAAAAATCAAACAATTATTAGATAAACCTCTACTAAGAGCAACCAATTTGTTATTGTAAATTGAAGTATAAAGTCGGGGCTCGCAAAAGCCCTATCAATTATGCTCATAAGCACCAAGCATGAAACCAAGTATAACGATGACTCTTCAAAGAATACTCAATCAAATTAAACTTCCTAGTAAAATCACCAAAAGCCCAAGAACCACTCCTATTAAGCAAACCACTCATTTTATCACATGCCGCTAGAGTTCATTAAAGTCACCAAGTAGAATCCATGGAACATCAAAAGCAAATTTAAGCAAAGAAAGGTCCTCCCATAACATTTTTCTAAAAATGTGAATCCCCATTAGCATACATGTTAACTACCACACATTTAAAGTCCGAAATCACGAAATGACCAAATAGAGCCACCCAATTTGTCCCATATTTAATAGAATTCACTTTGAATTTTTCTTCATTCCACATCACAATCATATCACCGGACCTACTCTTAGAAGGAACCAAGAACCATTTAGCATAATGATCATTCCATAAGCTTCTAAAAACATTATCTTTAACATCACTTAATTTCGTCTCTAACAAGCACATAATATCGACTTGATAAGCAAAGATTAAATCTTGAACTCGTTTAAGATGATGACTTCCCCCTAAAATGATGAAAATCACAATTCAAGTGCAAGATAATGCATTTTGAAATTTAAACACCCCTATCATTAATATTGATTGAATTGATACACCCTTAATTTTTACTAATAATAACACAATTATTTTAAATATTATGTTCCTATATTTTCAACCATATTTAGTAAAAACTTATTTTACTTGATAATTGCATGATTGTATCAAGTCAATTTTATGTTTTTTTTAAATCAAAGTTGGTTTTTTTATACCAAAAATTTAAATTGTTAGTTGGATACATTTCAATAGATCAGATTTCAATATTTCCATATATTAGCTTTAGTGATGTTTATATAAAAAAATATTAATAATTTTAAATATAGATATAGTGAGTTCTAAGGTTTACATGGTAAATTTGTTTGAATTCGTCATGAATTCTTAAAAGTAAACCAAAGACGGAAAATACAAATTATAAGTAATTTTTAATTTTTAACCTAACACAAATATCGCATTTTCAACAATTACATTCTATAAACACAACTAGGAATCCTCTTGCCAAAAGTCTCCTAAGATTACTAAGAATTCTCTTACCAAACGTCTCCTAAGATTATTTTTTAGGTTGGGCCATTACTGAAGAATCTAAGGTCCACTCGGGTCCATTACAAAATAGAATACCTAGCTAGTAGGCCCCTGCAGCCTTGAATTATTCCTTCGAGCTGGCCTACCTTAAGATAGCGCGTAGTAGTCTTATAACCTATATGTGCCTTGTCACGCAAATTGAATGGTTTAAAAGACATAAATCCTTTGTATTACTATGTCATAATTTTCTTCAAATCAATGCATGCCTACATGTATGATGTCCATGTAGGCAAACTTTTTATTTTTTATTTTTTTTTAATGTAGTAAAGATAAAAATAATCTTGACTTTTTTTTTTTTTTTCCTCTCTCTCTCTCTCTCTCTATACACACACACTTCATGTTTACGTTAATGGGAGTTGCAGGCTTTTTGAAAGAAACGAATGAAACCAAGACAAAAAATTGTGAGCTCAATGATTCTAAATTAACTTTGAAGTCCATAATCTTTGACTTGAAGCCAAAGAGAACTAATTCAATATATATATATATATATATATATACACATTAATCTTCTAATTTTATTATGCACCCCATAAATAACTTTGTGTGTCGGGGATATTTCCTTTGTCTTTTGTGCGTCTTCTTTCCTTATACGTGTATATATATGAAGTAATTAAGAACAATTAAGTTCATTAGTTTATTGTAAACATATATATTATCTCAAATTTCGATGAATAAAGATGTGCCGCAAACTCCAGTATCAAATTACTACTCGTAGAATAAGTTAATTACACATAATCAGAATATGTTTTTGATCGGATAATTGGGATATTTTTTAATCAAAGCATAAACTTACATGCTTGCAGTTATTACTTTGAAGTTCAGGATCATCATTTTTCTACCTTTTTCATGCATGCTTCTATTTACACACTTGGGTTATGATCTACATCTACTGTTGCCTTGCTGGTGATGATTTTAGGCATCAATTAGAAAGAAAGCATAAAAGCTGAACTTCCTGCATGAGAAGGAAAATTACAAATTCAGAGAGGAGGGAAAATTTGAGATGATTGTCAAATTTTTTTTTCCTCTCTTTTCAAGCGTTTTTGGGTTCTGAGCTGAGGCTTTTTTTTTCTTTTTTCTTTTTTTGGCCTTTGTGAAGAAGTACTGAAGTTCAAGTTGTGGCTTGAGGAAAGGCAAAGGGAGGTTGGCAGACAAAGTGATGCGGATGTAACATAAAATAGCATCCAAAAGTGGGACACGATCGATGAAAGATTGAAGAACTAAGGCTATGATGGACCCCACAAACCTAGTCAGAGAGCTCCATATCTATATGCATTCGTAAGCTTTTTCTCATTTGTTTTTCTATTTTCGGCTTTGTAATTCAGTCAATTACTATAATTCAACTAGGCATGCATGGTCCCACTGATTTTGTTACGTTTTTTTTTTTTAATATTATAAGTGATGAGTTATTAATTATCTCTTTTTTATATTAATTGAGATTGAATTTTTATTTTTTAAATAAATTAATATGATGTTTAATTTGAGTCAATTTTAAAAGTTGAACTCTTTATTTATTTTTTCTACAAAAGGAAGTATCTTGTGACATTTTTAACCATTATTTTGAACCATTTCATTTAGTCAGCTTAGGTGGTCCCACTTTGACTAAGAGCCCATCTGAAATCCGAATTAGATCTCTTTTTTGTAGTCTTGTAGGCGAGCATTCTGTTAATTCTAAAGGAAAAGAAAAGCCTTTTTTTTTTTTTCTCATCTTTGTTTTCATCCATGTCGAATTTTTTTTTTAACCTGAATTTATATAGTCGGATATGAGAATACTTTATATTTATTGTGGGCTAGACTATATCTAGTTTTTAATATTTTCATCAAACATGATTTTAAAAACGATTGAATTAGATATTAAAAAACGATATGTTTGAAAGAAAAAATGAATTTCATCATAAAAATCACGTTCAATAAACTCATGTAAAGTTATAATTTTTGAGCCTTAGCTCATGTTTTGCCTTATGATATAGGTGAGCATAATGAGTCTTGAAAGCAATCTGCCATATGGAAGATACTGCTGAAACCATTTTAAGTTTGAATTACTTATTCGCCAAGTTTTTTTTAAAAATTATTATCTGAATTGGTTTAAAATCTTTGGATCCCCGATTTTTTTTAAAATAATGTCCACCCCTATGCGGTATTATTTATTTATTTATTTTTGGTAATTATATTGTCAATGCTTTGGCATAGCCATAATGGTTGTTGCAGCCACTAAGAATAAACGTAAATGATAAAACAATAAATGCAATTCAAGCAAGGTACCACGAAAGAGAGCATGACTCTATTAGGAAGTTTTCCAGAGAGGGTGTGGGAAGCCATCACCATTGGGCAAATTGAGCTGGTAAAAAAATGCATTTTCTGAAGAAATTTGCTGATTGTTGGAATCCCAACATCATTTTAATGATGTCTTTGACCAACCGAAAAAGGCTCGGAGAACTAACATCTTTACAATTAATATGATGGCAAAAACCCTACAAGATTTCTCTAATTTGCTTCGCTTTCATCTCTCAAAACCAAAATGAACCGGGGTCATTTTAGTTAATCAGCCTGCTTTGTCCCCCACCCCCAAAAATATCTTCATTGCGTGCATAAAGTCTTATCCAATATTTCAAGAAAGTGCTTGGCAGACCTTTCGAGAAAAGTCCAATTCTTTTCATTATTGTCTAAGAATATTTAATGTTGTCTTTTTCCTTTTCCATAATTTCGAAAAAAAAAAAGAATTCAAACTTACAATTTTTTGGGGTTTATGGTTATTTATTGGTCAAGTTTACAAAGTGGAGTAATGAAAAATGATTTTGTATTCATAAAAAAATTTTGTCCACCAAAATTTTAGTTATTATAAATAAGTGAGTAGATGTAAAGTTTTAATATATGCCAAATATAAGATTTAAGAGATTTTTTTTTAAAAAAAATGTGAGAGTGGGTGTACAAGAACTTTTGAGATTGGATTAACAAAAATTTGAAAAAAAGTCATTAATTATTTTTTTTAATAATTTTATAATACTGTTTTAATTATTTTAAGTTAATAATTTTTTTTAAAAAACTAATTTTAAATAAAAAATTATATTTTTATCTTTTTAGATGAGGCATGCCTTTACATAAATGGTCGGACATTAGTTAACCGATGAAATTCGATCAATGTGATGAAATTAGTTAACGTAAAAAGTAATTTGTATTAAAATCCAATAAAACAAAATTTGTTATACATTATATCTATATAGAAGGATTAAAATAAATATTATTGAATATTACAAGCAATATGGAGGGTGTATTTAATCCCATTATCAAATATAGAATTTTCCATTCCATTGTAGATGGAGGTTATACTTATGCAAAAGACTTTTTAAAATTAAAGTCAAAGCTACCACAATATAGATAATATAGATGTACATAAAAGGTAGAGTCGTTGTAACTTAAGAAAGTTTCCAAGTAAATGAGTGTATTTTAATTTTCTTTGAAAATCAAGGATGCAACATTAAAGTGATGAGGCATAATAGAAGTTGCAAAAAGCTTGAATCGAATTAATTAAGGTCATGCATGAAGGCAAGTTGTGAAAACATCCAAAAGGATGAGATTGAAGTCTATTAAAGGAATCATGGACAACTACAACCCAACCTTACAAACTGGAGATCCCAAGAACAAGGATGAGAAAAACTAAGAGATATATGTATAAGTGTTTAGAAGCAAATGGTAAAGGAAGAGCAATGCTCCGAATGAGTTCGAAGCTATTACTCATTTTTCACTTCTCGTTTATTTTCATATATATATATATATATATATATATAAGAAATTCAAAAAAAAAAAGAATGTTGCATAGTTTATCTTTTTCATGATTTTTAGGTATTTTTATAAATTTTTATGATTTTAATTTCTTAGAATTATTCTCCATTTTAATTAAAAAAAGAAAAGAAAAAAAATTGAGAAGATGATTTGAGATTCGATAAAAAATAATGTGAAAAGTAAGGAGCAAGTGACTTTTCAATTAGGGATATACTTGGAAAAGGGATAAAAATCAAAGAACTTGATTGAAAATTAATCGGTGCGAAATTAAAAAAAAAAGATAATAGAGATTAAACAATTTCAATTAAGGAGTTAATTGGAGACAAATAATAACATATACATTGAAATTGATAAAAAATAATCTAAGGAAAGACTTAAATTGGGATAAATCCTTATATAAACACCATTTTCACTTCATTTTAGGGGCCTCCATAATCATTCACCTACCAAAAAAAAAAAAAAACTAGCAAGAAAAACTATGGGGAGCAATAAGAATCGTAGTAGTCATCAATTGTTTCCTTAAAAAATAAAACCTTGGTAGACACTTTCACTACAAAAGAAGGATTGCCATACCTACATCCTAAAAATGACCTCCATCTTTCCACACAAACCCACGCCAACCTTAGCCGTGAAATGCCACCAAGCTTCATCATTGTCCTCACCCATAAAACCATCTCCATCAAACAACGCATCACCATAGGCCCTCACTATGAAATCACAACCAGGTTACTCCTTAAACCCACAACCCACATCTTTTTTTTTTCCAAGAAACAAAGACGATAACCTAATAATTTATTAAATAAAACATGAAAAATAACAAGGGGGATAAAATCAACTAAGCCTAACATGTTGGGATGGCAAGGTAGCCTAAATCCCTAAAAGAATAACTACAGAGATGTATTTTGAAAAAAGGTATAGAAGAGACCCGTAAATGACAACATGAAATAACACGGAAAAATAAGAAAAAATTCTTCATAATCCTAACTATTGAGAAGCTATTGTTTCCCCGTCTTAAGAACAACTTAATATGGATGAAAATTATACAATCCTAGTTTGTAATCCAAAACAACGGATTGATAGGAAAGGAAAAGTTCAATAGCGAAAAGGAGTACCTTGCATGAGGGGTGCTAGAATGCCCAATCTGCAAGTCTATCTACGATCATACTACCCTCTTTAAAAATGTATAGTAAGACAAGTACCGTAACAAATACTCGCCCTAAAAGATCTAAAAATGTAACAAAGCTACTAAGGATAAGAGAGAGATCGAGACGAATAACCAACTACTAATGAAGAATCAACCTTTATAATGTCAAACTATAAGTCATTCTCATTGCATAATTAGATACCTTCCGGCGGAGCTAGAGCTAGAAATAGAACTCATTTAGATCGTACAATGATTTAACCAAAGCTTTAACGTTTTCTTCAATCAAGAAGAATATTTAGAGTTGTATACTTTGGGTTACAAAAGCTCTGTTTCTCTCCATGGCTATACATAATGAATGAATGAATGAATTCCTATGCAAAACCCTAGCTTCTCTATTTATATCTTTACAAAGTATGCAAAAGTAGGGTTTTGACACATACATAATCGTCTCATATGGACACATGGCATGGCATATAGTTTGTTTTTGGAAGACACATGGTTGTGTCATATTTGCACTCTATTTTATGTCCCTAGCTCCTACCTTTATATTTTTATTGCTTTATCTCATGTCCCTAGCTCATGCTTGTGAGTCTTTATTGCTTCATCTCATATTCCTAGCTGCTATTTATGTGTCTTTATTGCTTCATCACACACATACCTAGAAGCTAATTAAGCTTATGGATCTTTAATAATCAACTTGAGTGGATATGATACATGCAGAATTAAAGTTTTCTTTTTCTTAAAAATTGTATTCCTATTTCTTATCTTTCCAAGAAATTAAGTCTTATATTAATTCAAAATCTACAACTTCAGTTATGAGATAAATATTGTAACCAACTCAACCTATCCGCCTAGCCTTAGGATTCCACTTTGCAGTCGAATTCCTCAATAAAACTAACTTAGTTTGGACTTAGGACCTCGCATAAGAATTCTATGTGTGCCTCTTAGCTATTTCATTGGCTTGTACTTGAATTAATTAGAGTTTTGAAACTCTAGGTATGAATTAAACTCCAAACCCGATTTAGACTCCGAATAAGATTTGGATCATCTTTCTAGACTAGAAATATAAAATATCATTTAAAAGCCTAAATGAACTTGGATTTTAACCCATTATATCATCATAGAAAGATTAAGATGTCATTTACTAAGTCTTTGAAGATCACATCTTCCAAATCCAACTCTAAGGCTTTGAAAAACCTACAAAAAATCTAGAAGATCTAAGTTAATCTTGCTAAAATTCTTTAACTTTTAAGCATAATTATTCTAAAATCCTAATTTATGTCTTCCTTATTAATATGAGTACAGATTATCATAATAAGACATAAAATTTAGAAAATAACCTAAATAGAAAGAGAATAAAGATATGATATAATGTTTATATCAAGTGGATGGAAATAGGGTGGTGGTTGAATATGGTAGTAACTTTGGTTGGCATATCTTCCTTGGTTGTTCCAGTGGCTTTTAGGTTGACGAGTTTCCACTTGATGGACTTCTCCTTTTTTTTTTTTTAAATTCCCATAATGGTTTTCTTTTCTGTTCCCTTAGAAATATTTCTTGCTTTGATTACCAACTCATCTCTCAAGCAATAATCATAATATCGATGAAATTTGATGAGGAATTACCGATCCAAGTATTCAAAGTAAGGTGATTTAAAGGTTTTCAAAAATATCAAAATCAATTTTAACTCTAATAGAGGTGGATGAATTTGAGCGGCCACTTTCCACTACCTTTGATCTGTCTTCCTTTACTCGTCTCCTTTAATCACTTTCTCTATACCTTAAATGTCGGATTGGTTAAGCTACCTCTATGTCGAATTTGTACTCGTTTAATAAAGGCATCAACCATGTCTTTTCGGTTTCGATCTTAGCTCATTCTAGCCTCATATACTAGCTTAACACATATCCCTTCAAGCTTTCATGAAATAAGTGTATCAACGAGTTTCTCATCATGTATCACTTCATCCATCTTATTATAGTAAACCTTTAGATAGGACATTAAGGGCTAGTGTATTTGATGAAGTCTAGTATCCCGAATTTCTTTGAAATCATCACATTATGTGTCGGGCACATCTTAGTTACTCTTATAGGGTTATAGACATCAGCTCCTTTAATAACCTTCGGGTGCTCCTCAATGGTTGATAATTTATCCGTATTTAGTCCCTTTGTTACCTTATATTTGATGGTTTTTTTGCTAATGAGGTTTATGATGGGCATACCAAGCATTTGTAGAACTCATAGGTCCATCGTATAAACGAATTAGCTAATAGGATATGAAGCCTCAACATGGAAAGTTGTTGCCCCTGGTTTGTTAGGAGCTATGGTGGATGGCCTAGGTTATAGTTTGAGTATTAAGAGAGCATATGACATATCATTATGAACTTACCCTTGATTTGAACTATTCCCTCCATTTAGAGCCTTTTCTAATAGACTAGTTAGGTGGGTGACATTTATTTTTATGGATTCAAGCTCTTGTTGGTGAGCCTATTCTAGCTATGATCTTTTTTTATTTTCCATTTATCGAGTACTTAGGTCCGAGTGTAGTGGATGTGATGAAGGAGTTAAGTTTTGGTGGAGTAGCATATATTTCAATTCCTCTAAAACAACTTAATAGAGATATATATAGTGAATATATAATATACATGTATGATATAAACTAGGTTAGATATGTTTCTTTGTCCGTTACATATTAAATCATGATAGAGTTTATATCAAAGACGGGTCGGATAAGATTTAATACTCCATGAGGGTACAAACCCATATATACTTGGGCAATTTGAAAGACATATCTACCTTTATTTTGGTCATAACCTCGAACATTTACAAGCTTTATGACATATTGAAGAGATTGAATTCATGAAAGATATTATTAGAAAAATTTGAAATTTAGCGTCTAGCACATTTTAAATGTGACTTAAAACCATTTTTTATTGAAGAAAAAAAGTATGACTTGTCTTATATTACATTGATTGCAAATAAAAGATCATAGTTATTACTTCTTTAGGGAAATTGAAATCTAGTCTTCTAGCATACTCTAAATGTGACTTAGAATCATTTTTTTTTATAAAGGAAATTATAATCGAAGGAGCCCTATTATGTGAAAATTCCTACTCGATGTTTCACCATAGTCTTAAGCCCTCGTAGGAAGTAGCACCTATTATAAACCTCTTAAGCCTCTTGTAGAAAAGCTAGATTCTCTCATTAGTATGATGTATTCCATCAATTAGGTGCTCAATAAGGGGCATTATTTGCATGGCATAGTTCTTAGCATTCCGAGCTTGTAAATGATACTCCATGGTTTGGGAACCTCATTCAGCCACTTCTCTTTTTAAAATGCCTTTTTCCTTTATCATGGCTTGGATGATCGGATCATGCTTTTTTGAGGCTTGGCTAGTCTTTTTAGTTAACTCGATCCTCATGATAGGCATATATCTCTTGGTAAACATTCTCTATTTTTTCATTTACTAATCACGATGGACCCTCAAATAGTAGAACTCGATACTATTTACCTCTAGTTTATTACCATTTTGGGTATCCGAGTGAAGTCTTTCCATTTACTCTTCTTGCTAGGGTGATGATTCCTTTGTTTCTTCAAAGAGTCTTTACTTCTCCTAAGATTTTCCTAGAAACTTTAAGGTCTTCATAATACTCGACCAATCTAGTGGTCCTCAAAATTAACTATTCAAAACCTAATTATCTTAAAAATATGTTTGGCCAATAGTTAATGCAACATCTAGCTGCAATCATTGGTAACCGGGAAAACGTTTCCTAATAGGCCAAATAGGATTTAGATAATGCAAATTGTGCCCTTTAGTGGAATTCGACCCTTTTAAACTCGAAGAACATCCCAATACAAGTGATTTTTCCGAGCTTATTGGGAGGATGGTCAACAAATTTTTCTAGTTTAGAGTAAAAGAGCTACAATGTTCGAAAAATTCCGAGTGGCTTTTCTAGTCATCACATGGCTCATGGTCTATGTAAACAAAAACTAGACATAACACCTTAGGTATCTATCCTCTTTCCTCCTATAGAAACTTAGTGATAAGAGTGTTTTTTCTAGGATTGTAGTCGTGGATTTGGCCTCGAGGGACACAATACTTTTGAATACGTTGAATACCTCAAAATCAATTATGTCTTTAGCCGATGGTAGCAACATCAATCTATATATTTCCAGTGCTAGGATTTTTAGTCCGATACCATTATCACATTCATTCAAGCTTTTTTTAAACTCTATTTGGAGCACAATCCAAAACCATGTTTGGTTATGGCCACTCTTGGTTGTTTTTTTTTCATAGTTGTGGGATCAATTTTGACCAACCACGCAAAATGGATGTGTGCTTGCTCGTGTGGACTACAAAAGTAAATCATATCCATTTTAGAAAATTTTAGTAAGGCCTTATAATCTTCAAGCGTGGGTGATAGATTCACACTTTCAAAGATGAAAAAGCGATATTCTAGATCAAATACCCTATCATGGCTTGGAAGCATGAGATCCGAGTTTTTACATTGAGCGGTTAGGCGAGGCCATCATATGCTTTTTAAAAGTCAAACTATCTTAGGGAGAAAG